AGCATGTTGGGATGTTGTGGTGCCTTTGAGATAAGCAGTTTTATTTTGTTGATTTATTCATTTTTAAATTTTTTTATTGTGTTTATTTTGAGAGAGAGAGTGTGAGTGGGAGAGGGGCAGAGAGAGCCTGACGTGGGGCTTGAACCCACGAGTGTGAGATCATGACCTGAGCCAAAGTCGGACACTTAACCGACTGAGCCACCCAGACTCCCGAGATAAGCAGTATTAGCCAGATTTGAGTGGTTTTGATGAGTGAAAAAACTGTTGAGGAGGGGGAGGCAGTGATTTAGACAGTGCTTGGGGGAAGGAAGTGTTTTAAAGGGGGGCAGAGAAGGCAGCTGGGCGATGGAGAGGGATTGTGAGGCCTGGAGGAGCATATTGGAATGCTTGCAAGAATGACCCAGGAAGAGGGCTGGATGCTGGTTGTGTACTAGAAAGAGGAGATGAGTGGGTCAGTGATGTTCTTTTCTTTTTTTTCTTTTTTTTTGTTTTTTTGTTTACTTAGAACAAGAAGGGCAGAGAGAGAGAGAGAGAGAGAGAAGCCCAAGCAGGGTCTGCACTGTCAGTGCAGAGCTCAACGCGGGGCTCAAACTCAGGAACTGTGAGATCATGACCTGAGCCAAAATCAAGAGTTGGATGCCTAACTGACTAAGTCACCCAGGCGCCCCATCAATGATATTCTTAAGCAGGTGGTAAGGGCTGGGGATCCAGAGCAAGTGGGGGCTGTTGGCTTTTGATAGGAGCAGAGACATTCTTCTGTTGTAACTCATGGTAAGCATAAAAGACGGTCTCGGTTAGGGACAGACTTGTGTCTTCGCCAAAGTTGACTCGCTGACGCCCTAACACCCAACATGCGAGTATTTAGAGCGGCAGTTAAGGTTAAATGAGGTAAATGGCGGTGCTCTCATCCAATAGGACTGCTGTCCTTAGACAAAGAAAAAGAGACACCAGAGAACTCTCTCTCTGCATGTGCGCACACAGAGATAAGGCCATGCGAAGACACAGTGAGAATGTGACCATCTGCGGGCATGGAAGAGAGCTCACCAGAAACCAAGCCTGATGGTTTGATCTTGGACTTTTAGCTTCTAGAACTGTGAGAAAATAAATGCCTGTCGTTGAAGCCACCCAGTCCGAGGTATTTTGTGATGGCCGGGCAGACAAGCCCAGGCAGACAAGCAGAGGCACACAAGCTGAGAGGTTTTAGATCTAGCCAGAGGTGTGTGAAAGCATTGTCCTCTGTGGGCTTCTGTTTCTTCACTGATGTGTGAGGTGAGGCCATCGGCTGGGGTGACTGTAGAGATGGGGGCTGGGGAGGTGGGAACAGACAAGAAATGAACTAATGATTTTAAAAGAGATTGAAGTTTCTCAGGGAAACAGTAGGGCCTGCCAGGAATCAATCTGAAGTTTGCAGAGCCAAATGTGAAGTGCAGTCATTCACTGGAATTGTGTGCTCTTTTCTCCAGCAAGATTTGGCTGGTCGGGGAGAGGCCCAGATGGCAGAGAGTGGGGTATATTCAGAGTTCTGAATTTTCCAGGCGAGGGCAATGGAAAGAGAGAGGCAAGGGAATTCAGAATGTTTTGGGGGGCATGAGTTGGGCAGGGAGAGAAATGAAGGTGGGTGTGTGTATAGGAGAAAAGTTTCCATACAATGAAAGAAGGGTTGTAAGGAAGATACTAGGTAAGTGAGTAGAACATATTAAGATTAGCAGCAATAAATTAGATTTGGTATAGGAGAGTGGTGATAGAAATACTCACTTCACAGGATTATTCCGAGTATTAAGTGAAAATGCTTGGTAAATGGTAAATTGAGGTATCGGGTTGGTCAACTAAAATAATACAGTGGATATACTATATCTCGATTTCCTTAAGGCCCCACAGTCTAGCTCTCACACCAGTGAACAAAATCATCATATGTAAATGATAGCTCCTGAACTTAAGTTTATGAATGAGTGAATCATTGAATCCAAAAGTATTGGTTCTCCTTAGTTTTAGCCTTGTGGCCAGCCCCCTCGGCAAAATGGCCCATTTCAAACAACCCCTTAAGTGAGAAGTCTCAGAGTGAGGCATTGGACAAGGAAGGCTTCTGGTGTTTTCCAGATGCAGCAGCAGTGACTAGATGGAAAAGATGTCAAAGAACCACAATTTTTACTTCACAAATCTCAAGCACAAAGTTAGAGGTACTCTGAAGAAATACATACAGTCTGTACTTCTTGTGTTCAGAACTGCTCAGGCAGAATCAGAATGTGATAAGACTTGTAAATCCCAAATTACATTCAATTGTGTCTAATAAAGAGATTTTAAAACTTGAGAAAATATATGTTATTACTGGGAAAGAAATACAGGAGTTGAGAAAAAAAGATAATAAGCAGTTGAATTAGATGGAATCATTCATTGCCTAGGGAAAAACCCATAGCTGTAATAAAAGCAATCATTCTGAATATTGTATTTCTTGAATTTTAAAAAAATGCATTCAGTGGATAGAATAGATAGAACAGATTCCATTTTTTATAGAATTGAAAAAAGAGGTATGTTAGATAACAAAACGCTAGCACTGCATGTGCCTTTATCTGAACTTCTCCTCGATTCTGTTATGTTAATCTGCATGTACATAGATTACACACTGATTCCTGGGAAGTTCTTATAGACAAAGTATCAAAAAGGCCTGTGTATTGGGAACATGCAGTTTCGAACTGATGCAGCCATTTTGGTAGAGCTGTGGATGGAGCCCTGAGGCTCACATTGGGGATTCATAGCACATTGGTCCCCCCTCAGGGTCATCCCTGTGTGTGTGGCCTTGTCAGACACTGGACGTGGGAATGGGGGCTCCCATGGTATGGCTTGAGCTCCATCTTTGTCCAACACTGGGGGCTGCTTCAGAGTCTCAACCCCTACTTTAGAACCTTTGATTGGATTACTAATTTCCCTGAGCCAGAGGCTCAAAGTGATCGCAGTACTCAGCCGAGACCAGAGAGGGGCTCTCTTTGCAAATGGGGTTGGGCTTAGGGACAGAAGAAAACATCCTTAAAAGCATTTTTTAAACACAAATACGTTTACTCTGAAGTGCAGTACGTCAAAAACTCATTAGAACTCATTACTGTGTATGATCCTATTCATAGAGTCTAGTTTTCCAGACGAGTAGAAAATGGGACTAAGACCTAGTCAACAAGCAAGAGGAGATGGCCTCCAGAGAGAAGCTGAGCCCAGGGAGAGAGGTCCTGTCACAAATGGAGACAGAGCCCGTGAGGTCGGCCAGGCCCAAGTGCAAGACAGCAAAGCGAAAAGTCAACATCCACTCCCTCCCAGAATCCATACCCAGACACGGGAGCTCTGATTGAACTAGATTCAGATTATTCCAGATTTTAAGTGAGATAACAGCAGGACATTTGATCAGGCGGCAGATTGTGAATGTCAGATAGGAGATTAATAGATTTTAATGTAATCAGAAGCTGAGGTTTGTTGAGTAGGGTTATTGCTCTGAAGTTGCATGGAAGGAGACGTGATCGACTGCACTGCGCAGAACCCAACAGCACATTCCAGTAATTGTGTTCCATCTTTTCAGGGATTATTATGTTGTGCTGTTTCCTTGTTGAATTTCATCTGTAATTATACCGCTCCATTTTGAGATGGATAGGTCTCTTAGGATACTCTCCTAACGCTTCCTAATTACGGTTTACCTAAGCTCAGTAAATTCAGTTAGCCAATATTCTTACGCTTTCATTCAGTATTAATAAGAACAATTGGACACCATCATTTTCAATACAGTAAAGTCTCAAATAAAATGAACAGATACTAGGTTCTTCTGGGTAATTAAATCTTATAATTACCTGGGGGTGAACCAGGATATCCTTTTGGTTCTAATTCTTCCTGTTAATTTTTTTTTCCTAGAATTTTCTCTTACTTTTCTCTCTGAATGGGTCCAGAATCCATTTTTATTCCCCATCCATGAGTTATAGTCTTACGGTACCTCAGTTTTAGTTATCATTTACCCATTCATGCATTTGTTCTGATTTATTAAAAGGGGCCCCTGAGAGATGAAGACACAGTCATGTCAAAGGCAGATGTAGAAACATATTAATGGTGAATCAAGGGCAAATTCCAGAAGTTACTTTTTGAACTAATTCTAGTTTATCGTTTTTCATCATCGTCTTACAACACACGAGTCACACAAAAATTCTTGATTGATAGGGAGGTTCTGTGTACTTCCTGCTAAACTGAATGAAGTAATTTCAGGATTTTGAAAATCATCATTATTCTGTGACAGAATAATGTACCCTTTGCCTCATTTCACATTTAGAAAATTGCCGCAGTAAGATGAAGTATTCTATTGGCTACTTTTATTTTCTTATGACACATCCTTATTGCCATTTCATTTCATATCTAAGATACTCCCAAATGTTTGGACATGATTTCTAGAAGATGTATTTTGCACTGATTTTTGTTATGGTGACACTAACCTTAATTCCACAAGTAAACTCACATAACTTTTATAAGATATATCACCATCTACTACTTTTTTTTTTTTTTACTGTATTTATTTTGAGAGAGACAGAGACAGCCTAAGTAGGGGAGGGGCAGAGAGAGAGGGAGACAGGGAGAGAATCCTAACCACGCTCCGTGCTGCGAGTGCAGATCCAGATGTGGGGCTTGAACCCAGGAAGCTGCGAGATCATGACCTGAGTCAAAACCAAGAGTCAGATGGGGCGCCTGGGTGGCTTAGTCGGTTGAGCGTCCGACTTTCGCTCAGGTCATGATCTCGCGGTTCGTGGGTTCGGGCCCCGCGTCGGGCTCTGTGCTGACTGCCAGCTCAGAGCCTGGAGCCTGTTTCAGTCTGTGACTCCCTCTCTCTCTGACCCTTCCCTGCTCACGCTGTCTCTCTCTCTCCTAGAAATAAATAAAAATATTTAAAAAAAAAAAAAAAAAAACCAAGAGTCAGACGCTTAGCCGATTGAGCCACCCAGGTGCCCCACCATCCACTATTTTTGAATGTTAAACCAGTAAAATTGGCTTTTGCTCCCTGCTCAGATGTGTTTAGTGCCTAGCTTTTGGGGTGTTTATGCTCTCATAGCATATTTTTTCCCTGGAGCTTCAAGCTTGTTTAGGCAGCTCCTCCACAGTGGTCCCCAGTCCCCACAGCCGTTTGTATTGAGTAAATTCCTCCTTGCTCGTATGATCAAAAGCCTTTGCACCAGCTTTGTTCATTTTGTTTTTTTAAAGAAGAATCCATGAAATCGTCTTCATGAGGTTCCCAGTGTTTGAGTCTTATGCTTCCCTGAAAATGAATATGAAATATGATTTTATAAAAGTGAGCCATGGACCTATAGGTTATAAGGCAGATTTTACTCTTTCATGACTGAGATTATTTTAAAACCGTAGTTATGGTTTAATTATTTACATAGTTTTTAATTCTTTTTTTTAACATTTCTTTTTTTTTTTTTTTTTGAGAGAGAGAGAGACAGAGTGCAAGCAGGGGAGGGGCAGAGAGAGAGGGGGACACAGAATCTGAAGTCCCAGATTCTGGGACTCCAGGCTCCAGGCTCCAAGCTGTCAGCACAGAGCCCAGCATGGGGTTCGAACTCACGAACCACGCGAGATCATTACCTGAGCTGAAATCGGACACTTAACTGACTGAGCCACTCAGTCAGTTTGTTAAATGGTTAAATGTCATCTGGTGACCCTGGGCTACCTCAAAGACCACTAGAGGCTCAGCATGGAATGTAGATAAAAGTTATTTTCCCATTAAAATTTTTATCTTACTATTCACTTCTCCAAGTTTTATTGAGGAAATATTTAGTTGACAGAGAAATTTGTTTATTTTTCAGTTGAGATGAGGAGCTTTGATTGAGATTGCATAGCTAATATGGACACTTAAGCATGGATTTTAAATGCCATTTTAGAGACATTTGCAACTCATGTCCATTGGCCTTTTCTCAGAAAAGGCCATATGCTTCACCTACCATCCAGTTTGCTGGAATGGTCCCCATCGGAGGGTTGCGTTTGATGGTCAGATGGAGCTGCATGGAGGTATTAGTTGAGTGGTCTCTCTAGCAGAGCTCCCGGGAGGCTGAGGGCTATGTCTTGATTGAGGAAAACACTTACGTTAAATATTCTCAGTACCATACATCTCCTCTTACAGTATTTCCTTTGTTGAGCTCTTCATCTGAAAATTTAAAACAGCAACAAACTCTTGTTAGTGACACGGTCACGTGGCTCATTTTACTCTTGTAATTTTTCAAATTATTTCATCATTTTCCCCCACGAATGCATCTGGCTCTAAGACTGTCCTACGTTTTTTGAAAGTCTTATTCTAGGCTATTTTTGAAAGTCTATTCTAGAAAACGATCAGGGTAGAAGAACTTGATCATTGATTAAGATTAAGACTTTGTTGGGGCACCTGGGTGGCTCAGTCAGTTAAGTGCCTGACTTCAGCTCGGGTCATGATCTCACGGTTTGTGGGTTCAAGCGCCACATCAGGCTCTGTGCTGACAACTCAGAGTGTGGAGCCTGCTTTGGATTCTGTGTCTCCCTCTCTTTCTGCCATTCCCCGCTTTCCTTCTCTCTCTCATAAATAGTTAAATACGTTAAAAAACAATTGAAAAAAGAGTCTTAAAAAATTAAGACTTTGTCACTCAAAATGTGATGCTCAGTTCAGTAGGATTGGCATCCCCTGGGGGCTTGGTAGAAATGCAGAATATCGGGGGGTGGGGCTGGGTGGCTCAGCATTAAGCATCCGGCTGTTCAGGTCATGATCTCACGGTTTGTGGGATCAAGCCCCAAATTGGGCTCCTCACTGACAGCACAGAACCTGCTTGGGATTCTCTCTCTCCCTCTCTCTCTGCCCCTTTCACCCCCATGCTCTCTCTCAAAATAAACACACTTAAAAAAAGAGAAAGAAATGCAAGCTATTAGGCCCAATCCCAGACCTCCTGACTCAGAATCTGCATTTTAGTTAATCTCCCAGGTGATTCCTAGGCACATTGCAGTTTGAGGAGTGTTACTGTAAGGGGCACCCTCAAAACTGACAGCCCCCGGAGCGCTTCTGCTGAGTCCTGCTTAAGTGAGCTCTCAGTTCCAGCCACTGTGCTGAGTGCGTTCCTGCGTTGTCTCTTACAAACTGCATCAAATCTGTCAAAGAGATAATATTATCCCCATTTTGCACTCGAAGCTGAAAGTACAGAGGGGTTAAATAACTTTCTTGGGGGCTAAGCATCTAGCGTGCAGTGGCTCAGAACCATGGTCGGTTTGCCGCCGGAGTTTATCTTCTTGGTCAGGGTGATCTCTTTATTCAATTCCATAATATCTTCAACACTCTCAGTCAGAGCATTAGAATATAATTTTGTCAAAAAGGTAAAATCATGCCTTTCATATAGATAGGACAACAAACACCTTTGAGAGACTTCGTTGAACTCATCCGTAAAGAGACTGGTAAGGTGTTACAACCAGTTCAAAGGAACAGACAGATTTATAGATCAAGAATATTGAGATGAATGTTCAAAGGGAGGCAAACCTAATTTTCCCGGTGTGGGGGAGAGTTGTCTCTCCACTGGACATAATTCATTTGTATGCTCATCGACAGGAATTATTTTGCGTTGCTGTCAGCCAGCTGCAATTTATAGAATTGCAAAATAGCTCTGTTAAAGAAAAAATTATTCATGATGCTTGTTAAAGCGGTAAAGCAGACTATTCAGTTCCGCCAGTTAGGTATGGGGGTCCCTGCTGTGGGGTGTTTAGGGGAGACAGATTGGGCTCAACCCAGAGGTCAATAGGAGAATGGGGGATTTATAAGGAGCCCATGGGGTCAGGGATAAGTGGATGAAAACTTACTAGGAGGAGGCATCAGGGTAAGGGGTACTCACGTTAGTGCTTCCTGTCTGCCCAGTAGGACTCACACCTGCGCACCTGCGCCCAGCCTGCCTCTTCCCTTCAGGGCAAGCTGTGGGGCGAAAGGGGTGAAATTTACCAGAAGTGCAAGTCTATGAGACTCATTACTATGGATCTTTCCTTCCACGTTACAGTGATGAGCAGTGATACCGTAAATGGTCAAGGGAAAATTCAGTGCTTCGTTGGTTAAGTTTGCATTGTTCGGATCACGCACCTCTGAGTTATCTGGTCCTGATCCTTCAGGAGCAGTTTAACAACTCCGGAAGTTGTAGTTAACTCAGCAGCAGGCATATGATGTCCTGCCTGGTAGAGGTCCAGTGGGTTTCCCCACCCCTCTCCACCAGTTTTGCCCTTATTTGCACATTCGTCTCACTATTCCTGGTCTATAGATGTGTCCATACTGTGGATTCTCCTTTGAACCGAACCTCTCCTTATGAATAGAATAAAATCTTTTACACGTGTTCATTTTATATCTGTATGAGATTTATGATTTTGGATTTTTGAAAGCTATCTTTCAACAGTGGTAGGGGGCCCAAATACATTATGGCTACTGATTTAGTGGGAGAGAGCTACCCAATTAATCTCTGTCAAGGGTAACCAAAGACAGGCAAACATTAAGGTGAAACCAAGTTAGCAAGAGGTTGTTTTTTTTTTTTTTTTTTTTTTTTTTTTTTTTTTTTTTTTTTTTTTTTTTTTTTTTTTTTTTTTTTTTTGCAGAGACGTCTGTGATTTCAGTTGGCTTCAGTGTTCATGTGTAAAAGAGTGAAGCTCTGTGTGGTCGTTTTATTTATTTTTTATTTTATTTTATTTCTTTAATGTTTTATTTCTAGGAGAGAGAGAGAGAGCGTGAGCAGGGGAGGGTCAGAGAGAGAGGGAGTCACAGACTGAAACAGGCTCCAGGCTCTGAGCTGGCAGTCAGCACAGAGCCCGACGCGGGGCTCGAACCCACGAACCGCGAGATCATGACCTAAGCGAAAGTTGGACGCTTAACCGACTAAGCCACCCAGGCGCCCCTGTGTGGTCGTTTTAAATGCACTTATGTTGTTTTGAATTAAATGACATCCGTCAAAACACAGATTCATGGTTCCTTGAAATTAATATGACTACAGAAAATAGCCAGCACTCATTCTGCAAAGTCAGCATGATAAGTGTGCGTTTACCTGTCCATCCTCCTCACCAGACTCTTGGCTCCAAGGCAGCAAGGACGCGGTCCTGTCCACTGTCATATCTCCAATAGCCACTGTTCCCAGTGGCCCAGGCTATGGGCTCCATTGATCCATGGTGAACGGGTGAATAAAGAGGCAGCCCAGGGTCTGCCCCTCATCTCTGCAAGGCACCAAGCCTTGGTTTTGTCAGTTCCTTTGTGTGATTGGTATTTAAAGGTAGACTTGTGTTAACCAAACTGCTAGAATAGGAATAGAATAGAATAGAATAGAATAGAATAGAATAGAATAGAATAGAATAGAATAATCAAGGTATGCATTGGACTTGGTACTTGGCCTTTATCTCTCAGGGAAACCAAGGTGAGGGGGTCACATTATAATTAGAACCTTTTTTTTATTTTTAACAAATAGTTTATTGTCAAGTTGGTTTCCATATAATACCCAGTGCTCATCCCCACAAGTGCTTGATGACAATGAAGTCAGGGCACAGATGGTGACCGTCACCTCTTATATGTCTTTGGGGGGGGCGGGGAGGTTCCACTGGTGGTCAGGAGGTGCTCCTGGCTTATCAGCTCCTCTTCCTAGAAGCTGGGAGCATGAGAAGTAAATGGAAAACTTTCCATTTGTGGGGCTCTTTCCATTTTAGGCTGCATTCTCCTTCTGTTAAAACATTCTTTCTTCAGAGAGAGTAAAATTGATCAGGTTTTAAGGTTTTCATTTAGACGCACCCTCCAGTTTTGTCCCCTTTCTGTCCACTATACATAGAATTTGCATGTTCCCGAAATTCCTTAGTCACCTACAGGCAGATTATTCCTTGGGATGTTTTACTTGTCAGGGAGACAATGTCATAATGGCATTAATTGCAAGTCATGCTCAGAAGGTGATGTAAACTCTGTGTTTTCAAGATCCCAGTGGGGGGCGCCTGGGTGGCTCAGTCAGTTAATCGTCTGACTTCGGCCCAGGTCATGATCTCACAGTTTGTGGGTTCGAGCCCCACATTGGGCTCTGTGCTGAAAGCTCAGAGCCTGGAGCCTGCTTCAGATTCTGTGTCTCCCTCTCTCTCTGACCCTCCCCTGCTCATGCTGTCTCTCTCTCTCTCTCTCTCTCTCTCAGAAATAAATTAAAAAAAAAATAAAAGAACCCAGTGTATGCCCACCGAGTACCGGTGATATTATTTTGTAGGGATTGAATCACTTCTTTTTTTTTTTTAAGAGATTTTTTTTTTGCATCATCAGAAGCTTAATTTTTATCCCCTGGCAGGAGCTGTGTGGTCCTTAAGCTTCCTACTATTCTGTGAAATTTTGCCAGGTGGTTTTGTAAGGTGATCACTCTCAACTCAAGGCTGACTTAAAAGACAAAATTTCTGAAAGGCACCTCAGCTGCACAGATAGTGCTGGCGGACATGCTTGTTTTTGTGTATGTTTCCACCTCCAATTCTTATTAAAGAGTTTTTTTCCCCTGACACACTGAAGTGATTGAAGATGTGCCTGAAGTCTGGGTTGCCAGAACCAAACAAATTCCCTAATTAAATAATAAAAGCCGTCAGAATCCATAATGTGAGATTTGCATGGAATGGAGAATTTATGCCATTTAGTAGTTGGCAAACTGTCAGCCAAAGATGAGCCCGGCGTCTTCGGGGCCTCATCCTAGGTGGCTCTGTGCGTCTAGTCAAGGAGTGTGGAGCATGTCCTGAGGGGAATGGAGGGGGTTCCCGGATGGACTTTGCACAGGGAAGTGACAGGATCAAGTGTGTATGCGCAACAGCCCCCCAGGGGCGGTGAGGATGGAGCAGAGGGGAAGCGAGGTTGGTTGAGATGTTTGGAGAAAACAGGTGGGCTGAAAGACAGGGCGATCCGGAGGGAGTCCTGGGGAAAGCTGTCAGTGAAGACCAGCCAGTTATATAAAAGTAACAGTCAGAACAAGAAGAACCCCGAAGAACAGGGAGAAAGGACTGTGACAGGAGCCGAGTGCGGGGGGGGTGGGGGTGGGGGTGGGGGTGGGGGGGTTTGCAGTTCAGATCGTGGGATGTAAAGTCAGACTAAAATAACCCCGGCTCTGGTGGTGCTTTCCCAGGGTGGTTTCATGGATTTGTGGGAAAAGAAAAGTGAACGAAGTGGGGTGCAATTTGAAGGAGAGGCAAGGCAGTAGGTGAAGAATAGCAGAATGCGTTTGGTTTGGTTTTGACCTTGAGATGGTGGAGAGCTGAGCCTGAGGAAGAGGAGGGGGCAGTGGGAGGGAAAGGGTGAAGGTTCAGTGGAGAGCAAACTGAAGGAGGTGGGTCCCGATCTCAGGGGAGACGGGGAGGGATGGGATGGCAGGTGGATTACCCTTTTGTGGAACAGAAAGACTTTTTCTTCTAAGAAGGGGAATAAGGATGTCTGATCCCTAAAGATCAGTTGACACATGGCAGTGACATTTTTCTCCGAGGTAGGACTCATGACTAAGGGAGAAGGTCGGAGGGCAGAGAACCGTGAATGGGTAGGTGGCCATTGAGGAGAATGGGAAGAGAAGATAGCTGGTGACATGTAACAGAATCATCAAGGTGGACAAAAGGCCGAACGAATCAGACACTACACATTCATCAAGGCACCAATCACGTACCTGTATGATTTTTCTCCCTGCAGTCCTCAGGGGTCAGGTGCAGCCGTGTAGCACGCCAGGGGCTGTCTTCCTCCATTACTGCAGCTTTGCAGGGCGGAAGTGGCAGAGTGCTAAGGGAGCAGGTAACTGAGAGTGCTGTAAAGATGCCACCAATGTCAAAAATGAGCAGGTAGGCAGTCTTGCACGGTGGCTCATGAGCAGAGATTGTGATCTCACAATGGGGGTGATTAAAGAGGCATTGGTGGGGTTGTTAGAACCATCTCTGCCCTCTGGTCTGGGAGGCTGCAAGCGCTGACTTGGTCCAAGTTCTAGTGCATCTCTAAGAGGATGGTCCATGTCTCTTCTGTGACTTGTCTTGGGGGCAAGCTGTGTCGCTCAGGAGATCCTATGTCGCCTCATCCCGTCTTTACCTAATTATGGTAAGAAGGATGTTAGAAGAGCCTTCACCAGAAAATTGAAATAAAATTGAAATTTAAAAACAAGTCTCAGAGTCGACAGAAATAGAATTCTTTTTTTTTTTTTTTAATTATTTCTAGGAGAGAGAGAGAGAGACAGCGTGAGCAGGGGAGGGTCAGAGAGAGAGGGAGTCACAGACTGAAGCAGGCTCCAGGCTCTGAGCTGGCAGTCAGCACAGAGCCCGACGCGGGGCTCGAACCCACGAACCGCGAAATCATGACCCAAGCGAAAGTCGGACGCTTAACCGACTAAGCCACCCAGGTACCCCCAGAAATAGAATTCTTATTGGGAGCCCGAGAAAAGCCTGGCTTTGGTTTTTGGAGCTTATCTGGCAGCCCTCTGACTCCTGTGCTTTTTCCCTCCCTAGACTCAAATGCTCAGACTACAAACTGGAGTTTGGTTTAGGGGGCCCCCTTCCATTGATGTCCCGGACTTCTGCCCGCATGGGAGCGCCCCCACAGCAGCCTGTGATGTGCTTCACCTCTGTAGCTTCCTTTTTCCAGTTCTCCTTGACAGCTGCTACTTCCAGATGGGCCGTTGAGCCTGATCCCCGGGAATCCCTTCTGGGTTACATATCAGCCCCACTTGTCTTGTGGCGATGCTTGTTCCACCAGGTTGGCGGTGACTCCGGGTCTTTAGAATTCCCACTTATACCTTGATCACCTTTTCTCTTTTGACTTGTCTGAGAGATATCCCCAAATCCAGAAGTTAGAGAGGACTCAGAGGTTTATGGTGGCGCTGGGGGCCAGCTTCTCAGATACGGCCTGTCTACAGGTCATGTCCTCTCTCAGATCAGAACTGCGAAGGTTTCTTCTTTTCCTCTTCCAAGAGCAAGTAACTCCTTCGTGGTTCTTCTAAGGAGCTCAGATGCAAGGCACATCTAACTCTTACTTATTCGGCCAGTCTGACGGGCTAGCCTAACCAGATGATCGCACCTTCTCCCCGAAAGACCTAATGCTCACCACGTCTCCCAGGGGTCCTGATGTCTCTTAGGGTCTCAGGTGTTCAAGCATTTCAAAACGTGGCTGTTCTATTGTTAATTTGTGTTTCTATCTTGAATAACAAACACAGTTGAAAATACCATGAACGACGAGACTTCTCTAGAGGGCAGCAAAAGGGCTATACCAGTCAGATGGCTCAGCTAGACAAATGTGTGAAGGTTACAGATTCTGCCCGCGAGTATCTTAATATCTTCCTAGGCAGGTTTTAAGGACGTTAGATGAAAAGGAAGAAAACTTTTGAAGTCTCTGAATGAGAGGGGGACAGGAAAAAAACAGAGCAAAGAGAACTCCAGGGACTTCCCTTTCTGTTCCTCTCATGGTGAAGCAGCTTCTAGGAGCCAGAGAAGTTTCTGACCCCTGTGTTCATAACTGTGACTGGTTTGAGGAAGGAATACAATGATGCATTTAGGAGCATATGAAGCTGACTTGTATTTAGTGACTTCTGGGTGGGTTCAAACAAATTTTTTAATGTTTATTTTTGACAGTGAGACAGAGTGCGAGCAAGAGAGGGGCAGAGAGAGAGGGAGACACAGATCTAAAGCAGATTCTATGCTCTGGGTTGTCAGCACAGAGCCTGACATAAGGCTTGAACTCACAGACTGTGAGATCATGACCTGGGCTGCAGTCGGACGCTTAACTGACTGAGCCACCCAGAGGTCCCAACTTCTGTCTGTTTTTATACACACCCATGTAAGCCTTTGTCTTAGTCCATTGAGGCTGCTATAATGGAATACTATAGATTAAGTGGATTATAAGCAACCGAAATGCCTTTTTCTGTTTTGGAGACTGCAAGTCCAAGATTGTGGCACCTTCAGATCGGGGAGGGCTCATTTCCTGATAGACAGCCTTTCTGTCACTGTAACCTCACGTGGCAGAAGGGGACTGGGCATCTCAGGCTGATTTTATTTATTTTTATGTATTCTCTTTAATGGGAATTTGTACAAATTTTAATTAATTTTATTAATAGCTTATTTATTAATTTACATCCAAGTTAACTAGCACATAGTGCAACAATGATTTCAGGAGTAGATTCCTTAATGCCTCTCACCCATTTAGCCTACCCTCTCCCTCTAGTAACCCTCTGTCTGTTCTCTGTCTTTAAGAGTCTCTTATGTTTTATCCTCCTCCCTATTTAAAAAAATGTTTTTAAGGTTTTTTTTTATTTACTTTTGAAAGAGTCAGAGAGAGAGAGAGCGTGAGCAGGGGAGGGTCAGAGAGAGAGGGAGACACAGAATCCGAAGACAGGCTCCAGGCTCTGAGCTGTCAGCGCAGAACCTGCCCCCTCACTGTTTTTATATTATTTTTGCTTCCCTTCCCTTACGTTCATCTGTTTTGTATCTTAAATTGAGCATATGAGTGAAGTCATATGATATTTGCCTTTCTCTGACTAATGTCACTGAGCATAATACTCCCTAGTTCCATCCATGTAGTTGGGTATGGCAAGATTTCATTCATTTTGATTGCCAAGTAATACTCCATTGTATATATACACCACATCTTCTTTATACATTCATCTGTCGATGGACATTTGGGCTCTTTCCATACTTTGGCTATTGTCGATAGTGCTGCTATACACATTGGGGTGCATGTTCAGACTGATTTTATAAGGCCACTGATTGCATTCATGAAGCCCCCCCATGACTTTCCCCACCTGCCAAAGGGTCAGAATTTCTACATATGAATTCTTGGGGGACACAAACATTCCCTCTGTAGCATCCCTGTAACTACCTTATTGAGTAAAGCTTTCCAAAAAGGAAACCGTAAAGGATGGCCGTACCCAAACCGCAGACCATGTGTTTTTCCTCTGACTTCCTGCTCTCGTCTTCACTCTATACCAGATAATCTCATTTGCTTTCCGTGGGTCTGTTTGTGATTTCAGTTGGGCAGCGCTGTCCTGACTTTTTATTAACAAAGATCCTCTCCGATTTAAGGAACATTGGAGGATGCTCAACCCCATTGGTGCCTGCTGGTCACAGTTTCACAATTCAATATCGCAAAGCCATCATAATGCAGAGCACTGTTGGCTTGGTAATTCGCTTCATTAGTGGTGCTGCCTGAGTAAAAGACACAGCAAGTTCGAAATAAACAAATCCTTGGAAGGTACGATGATACACTTGGAAAGCACAGAAGGTCGGGCGTGGAGGCAGAGGAGGGAGGAGGAAGGCAGTGGGGGAGGGGAGGAAGAATCGGATCAGGATAAAGGGATCCTGCCAGCCTCTGTATGCTGTGTGGACAGTGTTTTTAGAAAGCGTTTCTGCACAGTATCAGAGAATTAATTATGAGGCTGCCTTGTGTGTCGTTAACCTCCACGCCTCCTGCTCCCCTCGCTTCCCATATGCAGTGTATTCTGAAGCCCTGTCCATCTCACCTGCAGATTAGATCCCAAGTCTGTCAGAGTATGACTCCCGCTTGCCATCTGGCCGGGCCGGGCTGGGCTAACGCGTGCACGTGCGGGGTGGGACTTGCCGGCGCTTTCTTCTCCTGCCACGGCAGCTGCGGAAGCGGGTTGTGGAAATGAAGGGGCCACGGATCCGGAGCCGTCTGGGTCCCGGCATCGCAGGGAGCACAGCTGCCCGGGGTAGCCGCCCACCCGGCGGGCATGCGAGCAAGCGAGGACAGACCTTGTTATGGGGAGCTGGGTGCGCTGTCATCACATCACAGTCCATGGTGTCCTGACTAGTGACACAAACCGACCTCCTCTCTCTCCTGACCTGCCCCCCTGTTCGGCAGCCATGCCACCCCTCATTTCATTTCTCAGCAAAGCAAAGCTCTTAAAACATACATGAGGGTCACCTTACTCTCCTGCGTCCCCTTGTCATTTGGATAGATTCTCTACACGGCTCTGCGGGCCTGCGTGCTCGGGCCGTGCTTGCTCCTCCAAACATCCTTTCCCCTTTCTGTCGTGAGCCCCACCTGCCTTCTTTCAGTTCCTCAAACACTCGGGGCTGCCCCCCTCCATTCTGGGGCCTTTGCACATGCTTTTTTCCTCCATCTGGAACCTTCCCTCCACTTCCCAAAGTTCACCCACAGCTCACGGCGATTATGCTGTGATCTCCATCCTAAGCACCACTGTCTCAGAGGCCCCGTCAGGATGGAGGGGCTCCCAGGTACACTCCACCATCGCACCCGCTGCGGTTTTAATGATCCCAATCACGGTTCCTCATTCTGTATTCGTGTGTGTCATTCTTTGTTTGATGAATATCTTTCTCCCTGACCTGATGGCACATCCCGCCAGGGAAAGGACCCGTGTCTGTTATATCTACCTAAGCATCCTGTGCGTTTCTCCAGTGCATACTGGGTTCTCAGCAGAAGTGTTCAGATGAATAAATAAATGTTTAATACTAAGTCAGAATCATATACGTGTTTTTGAAGTCTCAGGAAAGTGATAGTGGATATTGTTTTGAGGATTTACTGTGTCAGCAATGGTACCAAGGGCTTTCGGCTGTTTTCTGTGTCACGTATATATCACAATAATAGTATGGGGTCAGACTAGAGATATCCGGAGTGATTAAATAGCACAGGTGTGTCTTCAAGGCTCAAGAGGCCGCCCAACCCCATAATCCATTTCCTTCACTTGGTTTTTCATTTGGTTTCTTTCCAACTCCAGTTTTCCAAGTTCATGAAACTATAGCAACAGTATTATATCACAGTATTATAATAATCAAGGGCCAGATTTCCCTTACTTTCTTTTTAGAGAGACCTACTGATCTCTGGTGTCTGCATGCTTCCTGCCAGAGACGACGTCTTTGCAAAATGTTTACGTACTACACAGTCATTGAAACTAGTCGATAAGGTGTTGGTGGTAATTCCAAACCACAAAGTATGAAAACCTGAATGTATGAAGTCTTCCACAGAGAGTTCATTTCTATGTGACTTTATAGTGTGAGCTTTTTTTTTTTTTAATTTAGACTTGTCAGAGGTGAAGATACCAATTTCCTTTAATGGAATGAAAACCAACTTTATTTGGGCAAACGTTATCAATTAAATCTGAGTCTTGTTAACATCATCCTGTACCTCTCATTTTAAAGCAATCTTTTTAAAATCTCTTCCATGAAACAGCACATATCTGAATGAGAAGTTACTCCAGCTGGCGGAAACATGCAAAAGTCTGCAAGATGGCTTTGTGACTCTATCTAGCAAAGTAAAAAGGTAAGTTCTCCTTTTCACTTTTAATTTAACTGTAAAATCAGTGTTTCGCATTTGAAATATTTTACATCACCTTTGAAACCATTTGGAAAATAAGACTGTGTTTGTGCTCTGGGTTGACCTTGGCTTCTGAGAAGCTCGCTGTGGTAAAGAGGGTGAACAAGGGGTGGACAGTGCAGACCAGGGTCAGACCCTGGTAGTGGGGACTCGATGTACCTGTCCCTGGATCCACGTTTACTAAAAACTCCAGGTAATTTTACCGGCTAGACTTTTATAGGCCTTCATTCTTTTTTAGAAATCTGGAAACATTGGACCCTATCCCAGAAAAAGGCACATTTATCTGTACTGGATTGCTTATAATTCCAGAAGGGTAGCAGATTTACCCCTAGTTCTAGCTGTGGGTCACCTTCAACTCCCCCCACCCCCCACCTGCTTCCAATCCTGTATTTTATACCATCTTCTTCACACTTGGGAAGGGAGATCTAAAAGCTCTGAGCTTCACACACGGAAGAGCCCCTGGTGGCCTGAGCCTCTGATGGGGGGTGGTTTTGCTTTGACTGTACCTGGAAGGAGCAGAGTCTGACAGTGCCGGGTGGAGGCTGTGCCTTTGTGGGGGTCGGGGGGCCTGTGGTTGCCCCTGTAATCTTCCTCAAAGGAGCTCAGCTGGGTTGCATTTAGTATCAATGATCCTAAAGGGAACCCAGGATGTGAGGCAAGTCTTCCTGGGGAGTAGCACGTCGACTGTCCAACTCTTCGGGCAGAAAAGGGAGATGTTTCATAGCGTTAAGTGTTTGCGCTGGGTAAGGAATCCCACAGACCTCACTTGGAAACCTCAGCTACTATTCTGGGCCGGCAGTTCAGAGCCCGTGCAGAAGGATGGTCCCGGGGTGATGCTTGATGTCCCAAGCAACTCTGCTTTGTCTGAGCCTCTTGACCGCCTGGATCCTTGAACTTATTAGGGAGGCCTGATCCTGGGTAAGATCTCTGATTTGAGTTAATCTGGTGTGACCATCCAATCCTGTATGTTAGCTCAGTTGATTATGAAAGGCTAGTCCTAATAAAATCTTGGTTTTCTTTTCCTTAAATTCCACCTGACAGGCCCTGAGCTTCCTGGAGATATCCACCATGCCTTGTACCTCCCATCTGTCACACCTGATCTACTCCTCTCCCCAAGTTTAGTCTGGGCCTTTCTTTGTCCTGGAAAGTTGACCAGTGAGGTATTCATCAATATATTTCTTGTTCCTTTTGATATCTAGTTTTCTTTGGATTTGACCCAGAGGGGAGCACCGGAAGGAGAATGGAAAGAAGGAGGAAGGAAAAGGATCTTTCTTTGTGGTGATGCTTCAGGTTAACTACCTCCTTGACCAAAGGAACGTGCTGCACTTTGCATGAAGGCCATAACTTTTGTTAGGCGCCTTTGTCTCCTTCCCTCTGCCTTCATTCTCTCCACGGACCCCTCAGTGTGGGAATAAGCCATTAAGAGTCTCCTGGCATTGTGCTTGGGTTTTCCTGCATCTAGACTAAGCCTTTCGAAAAAGTCCTTTTTTTTTTTTTTCTTTTTTAAATTTCTGAGGGGGGAGGGGAGAGAAAGAGGGACAGCATGAGCAGGGGCAGGTCAGAGAGAGGGAGGGAGACAGAATCTGAAGCAGGCTCCAGGCTCTGAACTGTCAGCACAGAGCCTGACGTGGGGCTCAAACCCACGAACCGTGAGATCATGACATGAGCCGCAGTCAGACGCTTAACCGACTGAGCCACCCAGGCAGCCCAAAAAAGTCCCTCTTTGAAGTTCTTAAGTGACACAATTGAGTGGGCCATCATTCCCACCAGGACCCTTGCTCACCCACTGTAGATGGACCGGAAGAAACTCTTAGAAATCCTTTTCAAAAAAAAAAAAAAAAAAAAAAAAAAAAATCCTTTTCTCCTCACATGATAAATTCATTGAATTTCAGGGTAGACTTAAAGTAGCTCATGCATCACAGACGGTGACATCGGTGGGCATCTCTCTTGGTCATGTTGCAGCTGTTGTCTTGTTTGTTGGGTGTGGGGGTTCACAGGTCTTTTTAAGAAACCTGTCCCTCAGATCTCGACTCCCAAACCTGCCCCGTGCTCTGTGCGTCGGACGTGTGGCCCAGTGTTGACAAATTTGGTCCTTGCTCTGGCCTGTCACAAGCCGGTTGGACTCCTTGTCTGACTCAGCAAGTGAAAGTTGACCTTGACTTTCTTCAGCTTTCTCTCTGACATGAACTGTTCTTGCCCCCCCTCCCCCGAAATAATGAGAGTCCTCAGTGTACATTGACTCATACCTGTAGCTGTACATTGGAGCAAAGCAGTTGAGTCAACATGGGAGAAAATTCTTTAATCATGGAAGGTGTTGTTGTTGTTGTTTTAAGGCCAGAATTTAACAACTTTATTACGTGCATCAACAGGGACGGTTAGCTGCAGTGTGCTAATGAGAGTGTCTGTGTGTTGCCCTTATGTTTGCTCTCTCACTCTCCTTTTGTTTTGGATTTGGTGCTCAGACCTCTTGTCTGCTGTTCTTTAGGGGGATGCATTTCTATTATGCACACAATTTTCAGCTAGCTCACATAATTAGCCCAAGCTGGTGTTCTGTTTGGCAAAGGTCTAGAGAGCAAGCACAAATTGCCCATTGTTATGAAAGTGTTATTTTTGCACACAGGAGACTCATTTTTTTTCAGCTGTATTGTCTATTGTCAGGAGTTGTGTGTTCTGCGACTCGGTGCTATTACATATTTACAGGGGACAATTGGGAAGGCCATTCAATATATAGCGATAAAAAGTAATTTCATTTTCTTAGAAATAATTATGGGGCCCTGTTTTTTGTCATGGTCTGTTAAAGATTCAGAATTTACTCTTTATTTAGCCAGTTTGTCCCTTTCAGTTTGCTGAAACAGAATCTAGGAAGACAGAGTCATAGTGGTAGGGAAACTGCTCTTTTTCTCAGGATGTTCTTCAGTCCAGTTTTAAATAAAAGAATATTTGACCATTGCTACTTGGAGGACAGCAGGATAGGGTACAGTTCTCTATCGTCTAAGACTGTGAGCTCCGGCGATGTGGTAGCATCCCATTGCCTTGCTGAAGCCAGAGAGTGTGGATGGCGGCAGCACCCACCTGCTCCCTGGCTGGTCATGGTATTCTCCTGCTCCCAGCCAGGAGCTGGGATGCACTCACAGACAAGGCACTGTCCTGCTATTTCTGAAACCCACTGGTGGACGCACATTGTCAAAACGTTTTCCTGCTGCCTTTTTGAAGTCAGCAAGCATACCCCAACCCCGATCGTGGCTGCCTAGCTAAAGCCAGTGGGCACATGCAATCCACACAGAGAACAACCTTGGATTGCCTGGCCACGGTGGCCATCGGGGCTGGAGTTCTTAAGCTTCCTGGAAACGTAATGATTAAGAGGACAGCTCCTGGCAGGCCACCACGCCCAGTGTGCCACACAGACAGCAGACTAAAACACAACCTGTCTTTCTCTGAGAAAGGCCTCCTTACTGAGCCTGGAGCTTCAGCCTGAGGGATAGGCTTTAGATTTCCCACATATCTGGAGGCTGAGGAGGTGGATCTGGGGAGACATTATCTTTGAGCACCCCCTTGGCCTCACTGCAGCTTGGTGAGACCTCCCAGAGAGGAGATTCCACACTAATGTGGAGCCCCAAATTTTGTACTCTTGCTCAAAGGACACCTCTGGGTTTGGAGGCTATCAGGGAGTATGAGTGTGGCCCCACAGGAGTGTGTATGTTCACATACTTCAGTGGCTGCTGCCTGAGGGTCTGGCTTCCAGTCAGCCTGACATGGTGCTAAATAAGATTCCTGCCCTTGGAACACCCACCGTTCTTGGTACACTTTTAAAAACAGAGACATGTCAAGAATAAATTGTGTGGTTTAGACCGTCACAAAGTTTCAAGGAGACAACCAAGAGCTAGGGCAAGGTCGAACAAGAAGGTTCATCACCTACACAGGCCGCTTCCTCAAGACTGAGAGGGGCAGCTGTGTCACCTGTCACACAGAAACAAACACAAGAGAGTCAAACAAATTGAGGAAACAGAGAAATATGTTCCTAATGAATGAAGAAGGCAGAACCTCAGAAAAAGACCTTAACGATAGGAAGATAAATAATCTACCTGATAAAGAATTCAAAGTCACGGTCATAAAGTTGCTCACTGAACTTGGGATGAACACCAGGATAGCTTCAACAAAGAGACTGAAAATGTAAGGAGCTGAAGGATACAATAACTGAACTGAAAAACACACTAGAGTGGTTCAGCCGCAGACTAGATGAAACAGAAGAACAGATCAGCGAGCTGGAAGACCAAGCAGTGGAATTCACTCAGAAGAGCCAAAAGAAGGACCTCAAAAATGAAGGTAACTTAAGAGAGCTATGGGACAACATCCTGTGGAAGAGCATTTACATTATGGGGGTCCCAGAAAGAGCAGAGGGAGAGAAAGGGGCAAAATATATATTTGGAGACATAACGGCTGAAAGTTTTCCTAACCTGGCAAAGGAAAAAGACATCCAGGTCTAAGAATCCAGAAATTCCAAAATAAGATGAGTCCAAAGAGATCCACACCAAGACACATTATAATTAAAATGTCAGAGTTAAGAGGATATATTAAAAGAAGCAAGAGAAACGCAAATTTTTACTTTCAAGGGAAACCCTATAAAGCTGTCAACAGATTTCTCAGCAGAAATTTTGCCAGGTCAGAAGGGGGTGGCAGGACATACTCAAAGTGCTAAAAGGAAAGAAAAAAAAAACAAACCTTCCAACCAAATACTCTACCCAACAATGTTATCATTCAGAGTTTAAGGAGAGGTAGAGTTTTCCAGAACACAGAAGCTAAAAGCCTACTGCTACTAAAGTGGCCTTGCAAGAAATGTTAAAAGGGACTTTTTAAGCTGAAAAGAAATGGCACTAATTGATAACAAGACAACCTGAAAGTAAAAATATCACTGGAAGAAGCAAGTTTATAGGAAAAGTAGTGTATTA